AGGCCTCGCTGATGCTCAGCCCTTCCTGCACAGGTCTCTCACTGCAGGCCAGGTGTGCTACCTTACATGGCGTGTTGCCTCGTTTACTACTTGGTAGTAGAAGAGCCCTTCAATGACATAACTTTAAGGGCCATTTCTCTGAAAACTTCATCTAAATCAGCAGTTGGCAAGGATTCCATGTTTGTGAACTATGTTACAGTTTCAATAATGGAAATTTCAACAAGTTTTCTCATCCTTACACAAGTAACCTAAATTTGTCATTATCAGTATTCTCAAAAATAAATGGATTACTGGACCAAGGTTTACCTGCAAGAGAGTCCAAGAAACGTGATAGCAAGATCGCACTTGTAACGTAAATTGTACTATGTATAACAATGAAAAATCAACAACTGGTGCTGTATTTATAGAAAGATTTTTGACGAGCACAGTCCTTCCTTCCTGTATCTGCCTCATCATCCAGTGACACTTGCTCTTTTCTTGTTCACATAATCAGTGGTTTTAGGGTTCATTTATTCATTTATTCAATCACTCAGCCTCCTTGGGTTTGGTACTGTGCTGAGGACTTGATATACAAAGTTGGATACACTTGTTCCTAATCTCTAGGGATTCACAGTTTAGTAGGGGAGTTAGATGCTTAAGAAAATAACTATTATACTACTGTATACATGAGATGTAAAGAAGTGAAAAAATTCTCAGAGCACTGGATGAACATAGCAATATTTTTGCCAGGGAGATCAAGAGAACCACAAAGAATAAGACTTTTAATGCTGGTCCTGGAAGAATGAATCTGATTTCTGCAGAGGGAGAACATAAAAGGTAAAAGATCGTTTTAGTCCCAGCATGAGAAAGTCGTGGAGGTGTGAGGGTGTATGCTCTTTGGGACAGTGTGATGTTACATCGTGTCAAGTTTACCGCAGACAGTATATGTATATGCGCATCTGTTTTGTACTGTATAATGAAACCATCTGTTCATTGACACTCTGCCTCAATTATGATTGGTTTTTCTCCTTAGTTTAGTTTCTAAATCAGATTTTTTTTCAAACTGTGGGTTGTGATATGAATTTATCAGTTCTCCCTACAGCATTTCTTTTCAACTGAATGGAATAGAAAAAACTAGTATAAAGCCAAATAGAAAAACATCAGAGTTCATTAACTGAGGAAGGTAAGTATTGTTTTGTGAAACATGTTTGGTTGTTTTGACTGAGTGTTGTGTGTCTGTTCCTTAATGTATTTCTTATTGTGGGTCACAATAAAAAAAAAAACCTCTGAAGTCACTGAAGTAGTAATACTCTATTACTTTTCACTGTACTCATATTATATTGGTTATGATTAAACATTGAGTCCAAATCAAGCTTGGTTTTTAATGAAGTGACAAGTGACACAGACTGACCTCATTTATAAGCCTGGCACACTGGCAGGCATCTGTTTTACTGAACTCTAGTTACATTTTACCAGATGGAATGATTCTAGCTTAGGAATGGAACCATCATTTATAATGTTATTTTAATGTTAGTTTTCAATTCTCTGTTCCAAACTACTAAATTAAAGATAATACATAAAAATCTAATCAATTAGTAAGTTTCATAAGAGACTGGCTTCTTCTATAGTAGTCATTTATTCATTAAACAATTATTTATTGAATGGTACCACATGTCCAGTTTTTCTAGATGCTGGAGATAACTGGTGTAAAAGAAAGACAAGATTATTGAAAGAAAAATATTTTATATTAAACATTAACATTAAATTTGAACTTCTTGCTTTTAGGATGGCATAATATTTTAATAAAGGATTTAGAAGCAAGTCACAAAATACTTAGTGAAGGAAAAATAAAAAACCAAATTCCAGCTAAAATGAGGAAAATCACACAAGAGCATATATTGTGTAAGATATTTAAAACCAGATGAGATAAATGGCATATTACATGAAGATTTCAATCTATCCCTTGTGTAAAAAATAGAAGACATGTGCTCACATGTAACACACATTTTGCAAAAACATGAGCCTTGCACAGTAGGGAATGGATATCTATGCTTCTGTTGAGGTGGACTTACGAAGTTTAAAGTTCTCCTTTGAGAGTAAAGCAACAGGTTTTTTAAGTTACACATCAAACTGAGAGTAAGCCTTGAACTTTTCACATGAAATTCCTCACATTTAAATTTATTTTTTATATAGTTTTATATATGAATGGTGATGAAAAGTAATAGCATTTGCTTTTTGTCCCTACAAGTATTTGTAATTACCATACTAGGACTTACAAAATCCATTTTGTTTGCCATATGACATTTTAAAAAATGTATTTCAATATATATCAATTGAAGGCCTATACTATGGGCCAAGATGTTAAGTAGGGAGAGATAAACACTGGTAAGTATTTCAATAAAATGTAGTATGTGTTTTCACTTATTCCATTGCATCATATATTTTTCTAGCCCCATTGCACAGTGCTTTCTGCATCATTATTCTCACTTGCTTCTAAAGCTATATGGCTTGCCATCTTTAAGTGTATTTCAAAGCTATTTAGGAATATAAGAATGTCTTGGTCACCTTTGGAAATTTATTTTACCCTAACCCAGTGTCTCTTTCCACATCATTGAACTTATTTTGAAACGTCCTTTAATTTCCATCACGAACTGAAGGCTTGCTTGACTTTTCAGAATGAGTAGGTATATATTACTTCCATGAGAGAGAGAGAGAGGGGAGAAGAGGGAGAGAAGGGGAGGGAGAGAGGGGAGCTTGCTTGTAAATGAGGAAAATAGAAAAAAGAATGTATTGCTCATTTTACACACACACACACACACACGCATACACACACATACACACATTCTTTTTCGAGAAAAGGCACAGTTCATATTCAAGATAGTGTTGAAGGTTTAGATTTAAACTTAAAGGAAAACCAAACTGTTTTCTTTAAATCTGGCTTGGCTTTCTCTTTTATTCTATGAAGTGTCAAGAATGAAGTTAGACAGTTTGAGCCCATTAGAGAAGCATTTGCTTCCTTTCCCTTCACATCAAGGAGGCTATAGTTGAGTCAGTTGAACAACAGTTTCCTAAGACGAACATGTTTAGGTAGAGAAAGTTCTTGGACAAAAAGATTGTTTGATTAATGTAAGTGACTGATTGTGACACATAAATAGATATTTTACTTTGAGAAATGCAAAAGAAAGATCAAATGGGCATTGTTACAAATGCTGGAAAAAAACATTTAAATGAAAACATTATTCTGATACCACTTCGGAAATCTTGTGTATTATTTCTCTTCTGTCGACAGAAGAATATTCAGTACAACTCTCAGATGCTAAGGGAGAAAAATAAATATTTCTTCTAGTGTTTTGCTTTTGGCCCTTGCTAAAAGGGTAGAGTATCTGATATTATGTGGAATTTAAAACTGAAAATAACCTGGAAGTAAAGGTCCTTGGAGAGAGTAATTTGAGTGATTATATTTTCCCATTGCCTCTGTGAGCCTCCTTATTTTCCCAAACTGGGTTTGCAGTGTTCCTGAGTCAACAAAACTATTGCCTTACACCTTGCTTTTTATAACATTAATATTGAACAATGTGGCAAGAATTTTTATATCTGGAGAGGAATAGGATCTAAGCTTTTCATAATTCAAGGTGTTAGATTCCTTGAACTCTTATTGTATGCCCTGAGAATACTTAAGTTAACATTTATTGGGTCATGACGTTTGGATCATGAAAAATTATCAAGGATGTTGGACTTTTACTTAAATTGTACAGGTTCAGAAACTCAAAGTACTTTGTTGGGGCTCTAGGAATACTCACATCTGGTTAGATTTCGAGAAGTTATTATTTAGCAACATTTACTGAAATTCATCAGTAACCTATTCTCTGTTTGGTTGTTTATATCTAAGCAGTAACAGAGGACTTTTTATAATGCTGTTTCTCCTTAAAATAAGGAATGGTTCCTTTTCCTTCCTTGTGGGGAGCTAAAGAGGAATATGGAGCTGAGAGATGCAACATCAAATTGAACTAAAATACAAGGGTTGCAGTTCAATGCAACCAAATTTTCCATCTGTTTTTCCCCCCTCTTCATTATTTGTAGTGTTCCTACAAACGAAGATTGATACAGTTTGTAGATGTCTTAGAGCAAATAACTACTTCCAGATGAAGCAATAATAAGCGCAAAATGCCTTTTAAAAATTGTATCTAAAATCATTTACGTCACTTGGCTATTGTGGAGCCACAGGTAAGTTACTCACCGTGTTAAAAATGGTTTCCGGGAGAGAATCAGAATAGCTGGGCCCCTGCCATCATACCCACTGGAGGGAGGCACACAACCCATGGGCACGAAAACAAGACAACTACCAAGTGCGTGGTTTTCATCTACACTCCATAGAAAGTGGTGACCTGAGGCGACTGGCACATTCAGCAAGAAGAGGTCACATGGATATTATAAGTGAAGCAGGCTCTTGAACGTCTGTCTGCTTCCTGGGAAGACTTTTCGTCTCAGAATACACATACTAATAAACAACAGTTGGAGAAAATTGTCCATGACAGTCAACATAGTGCTGAGCTGAGGCTGAGAGAAGCAAGAGTGGGATTGTATTTCCGTTTGTAAAGCGAGAACAGCCGTGAGTGAGTGCAGCCTCTTCTAAACTCTGGTATTTGAAGAGAATTGTAAGAAATTAAATTGTCCAACTTGGAACAAAGAGTGGCCGAAGTTACTGGAAAGCTCATGCCTCTGAGTCTGCAAAAATCACTGGCCAGGAAAACAAAACTTTTCCAACACCCAATTTTAATACTGTGCAAAAGCCATTGACTCTGTTAAACCCTGGAGTTAAATATGATCCCCTTACCTTCCCCCGCCCCTTGTCTCTTAGATTAGTGTTTGGGGGACCAAGAAGGGGTTGGAGGTTGGCCCCAAACTCGGAACTGCTGCCAAGGGCTTGTAATACAATCTCTCCCCGTTTGAAGGATAAATCAGTGTCAATTGCGTTTGCTGTCCACCAGAAAAAGTAAGCATTTTACTTCCGCTGGGTCTATGTGGACTGATGAAATGTAGGAAATCTGTTTCTGGCAGCGGGGAGAAAAGCGTTTCCCCAACAGCACCAGGAGGAGCCCTCGGAGAAGTATGAAGAGGGGCAGTGCGGCTGCAGATGCCGCTTCCGCGGGGCTGGAGGGCTGCGGAGAGCGGCCGCAGGACCTGCGCCGGGAGGGGCCCCGCCGCGAGACGCCGCAGGAGCCCGGCCGGGAGCCCCGGCGCCCCTGAGAGCTGCTGCTGCCCAGCGCCGACGCGGGGGTGAGCCCGGCGGGCCGGCCCTGCTCCCTGCCGCCTCCGCGGCTGCGCGCGCTCCGCAGCCGGGGTTGGGGGCGCCCCTGCCCGCCGGGGCACGTTGGCGGCGGGGAGGGGCGTTAAAAATACCCTCGGGGACTTGACTGGGAAGGGTGAAAGCCGCGGACAGCGGGCCGGGTCTGGCGCTGAATGGATGGTCGCTGCAGTGGGTGGCTCTGATCGCTGGAAACAGCCCTATGTTCCTCATCCCTATTGTGGAACAGCCCAAATGACCGCCGCAGCAAAAGCCGGCTGGGGCGGCTCAGCCAACTAGGGACACAAGTGGGGCTTTCTAATTAGCCCGGCGATTATAAATGCACACTTGTGCACGCGTGCATAAGGGTCCCTGTAATGCATGCCCATTGTTGTCTGTTACTGGGGAGAAGGCGCGGAGGGGGATGACCTAAATGGATTGATCCTGAGTGTTTTGCTTGAGTGGAGGAGGCCGGGACGGGAGGAAAGAGCGCGCGACACGTGTGACTTGGGGTGATACTCGCTGTTTTGGACCGACGGGTTTGGCGGAGTTAGGCTTTGTTTTCGTGAATAAACAAACGCTAGTTGGTGAATCAACCCGCCTTGGAAAGATTTTGCGTAGTCTTCTTTTCATCCTAAGAGCAGGGTTGGGAATCTGAAACTTGGGGAGCAGAGTGACCAGCTTTACTTTGGTGGCATTGATGATGCTGGCAAAATTCTGGCAAAATTAAAGCCCAGTAAAGTAAATTGTAATTAATCTAGCCCAGACATCCCAAGTTTCTACTGTCTGGAACAGAGAGGGAGCAAAAACGGTGGTTAACACTCTCTTTTCTACATTGCAGTACAATTGGGGTGGGGTAGGTTCATTAATTTCCTCTAGTTAACCTTCCTGGAAAGCAAAGCCGTAACTCTCCCCCACCTTCATCTTCACCCTTTTGCGGTCAAGAATTTGCAAAACTTTACTGTCCCTCTTGCAAACCCCTGGTCTCCCCAAGAACTCTCTCCAACAAAACGGATCAGTAGTGTATGGGAGATCTTATGCCGAGGAAATAAAATCTGCATGTGCACAGATTTGGCCTCCTAGTGTTAACATAAAGGCTCAGACAGGTCGGATGTGCCAGCGAGGCAGAGGAAGTCCACCTTCCTCCCCACCTATCCCCTGAGATTCACAGAAGCAAGGCGGAGAGCAAGCCCTTGTGCTCATTGGTTCTTTCCCCCAACCTCTCTGCAGTGTGGACACTGATTAACTACCGCTGGGATCTAGTTTGCCCAGCCTGTCTTTGAAATCGATCAATGAGTTCCTTCTCAAGGAATGCTCCCCCGTAACTGGGGAGGAGGAGGTAGTGGCCGTGGTGGTCCTCTAACATGGGCGTTCCTGTTACGACTGCCTAAGAGAAGGTAAGGGACAGACGTCTGAGGCTGGGACAGGCAGCCTTTGCAATGCACGCTGCAGCCTTTCACTCCTGGCTCCCTGAGTGGGTTCTGAAATGTAATGGGAGCTTGGATTTCAGCCTGTGTGCTACTAAATTTTGGGCTTATTTCTTCACTTCAGCGCTGAACAGTTTATTTTTGTGATGTGGACTGTGCTTTACTGGGAAATTCACGTGACCAAATTAATTTCACTTGGTGCAAAAGGTCATGTGACTGCCACTGTATTTTCTAGTATGTTGGTAAGAAATCTTCGTTAAAACTTTAACTCCCAAATATGGAAAAATGTCAGGTCTTACATTAATCCTAAGTATGTTAGGTGTAATTTTAGAACTTTGATTCAAAGCTGCAAGTCTGCATTATAGACTTCTGGCGCCTTTGGGAGGCCAAAGTTACCTTGGTTGAAAACGAGTAATGAGGTTCTATCAATTGGTTTGCAGAGTTTTGTTTAAACTGCAGCTGGTATTAAGGCTGTTTTGGTATCTTTGTGGTTTTGAGGTACAAACAGGACCCCACTGCTTCATTTCTCTTGAGTTACTATCAAGGTTTTCCACACAACGTTTTCTGACTAGAGAAAGAACTGGAGTGAAGGTAGAAAACCTCACTTGTTAAAATAACTAAGATGCTTGTGTAATTCTTCTGTCCTAGATGATGCTTTCAGGGTCATCTGAATTTTTACTAATACTTTTCCTTACATGAGGGGAAAAATATATATATATGTGTGTATATACATGCATATATTTAACAGTGTAGAACTCTGCTACCTCTCAACTACACTATAGTTAAGTAAAACACAACTATTTGCATTACAGACAACACAGAAGAAAACACAGCATTCTCATAATTAAGGTTTAGTTAATCAGCTTCGATGAAATTTTGATCTAAGTCCTTCTATTTGATGAATGACTTTGAGACTTTTTTTTTGTATTTACATTGTGCTTCAGATTAATCTGGTAGGGATCCAAATTCCTTCTCTAATTTGGAGAAATGGTTTAGTAGAATTTAAAGAAAAAATTTAAAAAAAATCTCAAAAGCCCTGAACATAAAAGAAATCATTGCCACTCAGTCTTAATTTTTTTGGTCATGATTTGAGAAGGAATTATTATTGCAGGTATACCGTAATTTAGTTCAAGAAAAATCATCATGGGGCTGCAAGGTAAGAGATTCGTGGAAGAGAGCATTGCTGGAGATGGGCACAAGGAGGAGGGCTGAGTTGGATACATTTAATGACTGTGATTAAATAGCTTTGCGGCTTGGCCAAAACATTTTAGGCCTGCAATCCCTTGTTAGTAACCAGGGGTTTGTTACATCTTCAAAGGGACATTCCAGTTTAAAGCCTTTATTATAATTAGAACAACCAGTAATGAGTGTCATGTTGCCTTTATGCTTCCTGATTTTTCACTTGCGGACAACCTTTCGCTAGAAGTGGAGGTTCAATTCCGAGACAGAAGATGAACTGACTACATTTTAGACTTTAATTTTCTGATTAGACCTTCAGGTTAAGAGTTTTCTCGCATGGCCTTTGTTGAGAATAGGTAGCATTGTAGAGATATTGCTGGTTAGCCAAAATGAATCACATGGGGGTAAAGAACTCAGAATGATCAAAGAGCCGTCTAGAGCTGTTCCTTGGTTGGTAGTTTTTTGAGACTAGTGACACATAGCGTTTTTTCCTTCCAGATTTTGAAAGGGTGTTTGCCTTGTTTTTACTTTAAAAAATGATGTTATTGGACTGTAAGCTTTGTTTCTTCACTCTTTCACACCCATAACACAGAGGTGAGGTCAGTGCTGCAGATCAGATCAAATGTGGTCTTTAGGGATGAGCCCCTTGACTGTGGGTTCATTGCCACTCGCTGTTAAATGACCACAGAAGGAGGCTTTGTGTATGTGGGGTGGTGGTGGTTGGGTGGTAGTGAAGATCCTCTCACATTTATTTTGAGAGGTATAACATTCCCCTATTTTAATAGCTTATGAGTCTTTAACTGGTGTTGAAAATGAAATATACTTTGTTATCAAAATTTGTAGAAATATATGTAAACTATTTATTTTGGAGTTCATAGTTCATTTATCTTGGGGGCTTTGTCCCCCTTAATATGAAGAAAACTGGATTTTCTGTTATTTATGTTTTTATTTAATCAATACTTTGTTTTCATTTCTCCCCCCATCCTTTGGTTGTTCTTAGTGATTTATAGTTTTATAAAATATTGCTATTTTGTTACAGAATTGCTTTTCTTTTTAAAACAAGTCAATGTAAATTTTATTTTGGTATGTTTCTATAGTGGTAATTTAGATTCCACTTGTCTTTATTGAATGTAAGATATATGCCAACCCTGGCACAAACATTTAATATTCACAATTATATTTGAGGTGTTAGCCTCCATTGTGCATACTAGAGAACTCAGGTACAAAGAGACAAAGTCATATAACTGGAACAGAATAGCTACTGGTAGCTGACTTCAGGACTTCTGATTCCAATTCTCATATTCTGTCCATTAATCTATTAATTCTAAGCTTTTTAGTGGAACTCATAGTAAACAATGGTGATATAATGGTTATTGTTTTATTCTTATATTTCTTTCTTTCCAATTTATTTTCTATGCAATATTGTGATACATTTTTTATAAGATGTCTGCAAAGCACACCTCTAGGTGGCGTGAAAGAATACTTTTTCTTAAGAGTCAAAATTATGAGATCTTCAAATGGGATTCTGGAGCAACAGACTAAACAGTCTGTATAAACATGTGATATTTTACTTATGGAGTCATTAATTTTTTCTTCTTCCCCTGGGTGAGTTCAGGTCTCATCATATTCATAATGGTTATTCCAGAATCCCTTCCACTATGGAAAGTAAGAAACACGCATACACACACACACATTCTTTGAAGAATTTTGTATTAAGTTTCTGCATGTTTTTCCCTTTAAGTTTTATTTTTTTGAATTCCAGATCCTAAGGTTTGAATTATCCATTTTTAGACAGACCCATAAAGCTTGAGAAGCCATAGTTTAAAGAAGTCACAGAAGCATTTGAATTCTTACTCCTCTTTCCAATACAATTGGCTTTGTTTAGTACTTACCAAAGTCACTTATCATGCCGTTTAGATATTTAGATTATGTGAATTTTAGTGGTAACATATTTAAACATTTAGATATATTAAATGAGAAAATTTTTTTCTTTCTTCCAAGCCTTTTTTTTTCCAAACCGAGTAATCATCTCATTCCCCATCTTTAAAAGGTACCCTTTGGCATCTTTTGTGGTTTTTGAAAACTTAATTGTATTTGAAAGATCAGGCATGATATTTTTGGTTATAGTTTGTCCTTGTGATCTAATTCAGCTCATCCAGTTGATGAAACATTTGTTGAAAATTATGGAAAGGGTACAATCTATAGTGATATTTTTATCTGGTTAATAGAAATTTATTTGACCTTTGTTCATCCCAGTTAACATTTCAACTGGAAACTAGGATGGGACAATTCTCCCATACTCCAAACTTGGATTCTGCTAGCTGGGTTCATTGCCACATTTCCTATTCATGTCATAGCCATATCTAAATCCCAAGAACTCCGTGTGGTCACTTAAAGCTAAACCACAGTGTCATGCTAAGTTTGATGGTCATTTGAGATATGAGAAAAGGATCAGGAGAATTTGGATTGAAATCCTAATTTTTTTTCAAAAGGGATTTAAGCAGAGGAGTTCTTGTCTGTAACCATGTCTTTAGGTGTCTGCATATCTGGCATATATTTAACTTCTATTGCCCACTAATTACCCTCTAGGCCTTCTTCCTCCTACTTCTGCCTCCTGGGAAACTAATTCTATTCTTGTTTTTCCCCCTTTTATATTATTTTGATTTTTTACTTAATGATCACCTATAAATATTACAAGATAGTTTGAATTACATTTCTGGCAAAATACAAGAAAGACTACATGAGAAATAAATGTGGCACTGTCAAGGAAAAGAAAAACTTCACTGTGTAGAAGTATTAAGGGGAAGAATTGTGTCCCTCTGGCTCTTGAAAGTGTTACATGCCATTAGGCGTACTGTAAACTATCCCCCGACGAATTATTTGCTGGACAATGAGCTTAAGAATCTGAGGTGTCTTCTTGCCTTTTACAGAGCAAAATAGAACTCTGATACTTAAATGGAAGTTGCAGAGTACATAATAGGATGAAGGTAAAGTTACTAAACTACCACATCTCACTTTCAGGAAAGTAGTGGGAGAGATTGTGTCTTGAGAAGAAAGGCATTTTAGAGGTAACACTTTTAAGATTTCAACTAGTTATTTAAATGTATGACTCATGTGTTTAAATGTGTTACTTAAATGTTTGTTTCTGAGACTAGCTAGCCTATAGGAATCCTCACCAGCAGGGAGAATTTTATTTTCCTGGGACTGGATCTATTTTTAAAAGAACTGAGGCAAAAATGTTTTAGGTTTCTGGTATTTAATCCCAGAATTCAGCGGGAACTTTAGGACCATATGACTGATGTGATAATTAACTGGGTAAGAAAAGGCAATATTGATGTTCTGGTTCTTCTAATGATAATAGTAACATATAACAAGGTGTATTAAGAATATTTCATATTTGTATTAGTTCACTTTAGTTATAGATTTACAAAAAAGTGCTTTGGAAGAAAATTTATGGTAATTTTTTTTGCAGGTTTTTCCAAGGCATAATTTCTCTTGAACTGAAATTGTCTGTGCTTTTCAATTATGTTAGGGCATGTTTTAGGTGTTTACAGAGGCTCTTGCAGTCTCAATGTTTGAGAGATGGTCACATTTTTGCATTTTTATGAGCACCAAATGTCTTATTTTTTTCAAAAGCACTCTTTAAAAGGCAAAAATTAATCTATCCTAAGAGAATTAGAGTTTGAGGGTAACTAGAAAAAAATACTATATAATGTTTCAAAGAATAAAATTCTCAAGAGTGTGTGTTAACTTAACATTGGTAAATTTAGAACACCATATTAAAATATACCCAAAAACCCCATTATGTCATATAATCCTTGCTTCTTGTCAGTTAGGAACATTTTCATTTTCATTCAGCCTTAATGCATTTGTTTATTTTCTATGACCTATTGGTATACAGAACAGCATCCTACACATTGTTGTGCTTATTGGTTACTTTAGCTACCTCAATATTATTTCTGTAGACTCAAACATGTTTTCTACAGTCTCCACAGGGGGACTCTGCTATTTATTCATTCAGTGATCAGATTAATGAAATCATCTTTTGTTTTGTAGACATAGATATTTAATTACTTCTACTCTAAAGATGATTGCAAAGAAAACCTAGTATATAAAACATATAAAGTAGAAAGACCCAAAACAAGAAAAAAGGAAAACCTGTATCAGTGTTTGTCAGAATTATGGTGCCATTTTTGGATTACTATATGGAGTCTTGATAAATCTGTTTTCTGTCATTCTGGAAAGAATAATGGTGTGAGAGTACAAAGACCCAGGATCAAGACTGACTCTGCCATGATCTAGCTTGGTTAAATCCCTTATCCTCTCTGGTGTTGTTTTCATTAACTATAAAATAAGACATACACAGCAGGGACTCTGAAAGCACCCCTGACCCTCTCTCCCATCTAATTCTCTAATTTGTGAGTCCATGTGCTATGCTTAATCTTATAGGTAATAGTTTTTTCAAGAGATGTGACCACATGTTTACAATAAATTGTGCAAATACTGTCATTGCTAGCCCTTAGTCTTAGAATTCTGTGGAAATCTATTGTTTCAAAAAACTAAACTAGACCATGGGAGTTTACAATTTGGATACTAAAATTTTAATCAACTACTTTTTCTTGCTTTTGAATAAGTACAATCTCTTGTCTTAGAAGCTTTTTCCAAATATGATGTTTTACACAAGCTTAGAGCTTACTGTTTTATTTTTCTATTCGACCTTTGATTGCTGTTGTTTCCTACCAAGTGGTTGGTCAAAAGTGACAGGACCAGTACGGATAAAGCAAACAGTGTTTCATGGGGTTTAATAATTAATAGCCTGACCTGTCATCAAAATGTCCTTGAATCTAGTTTCCTACTTTATCATTGACAGAATAAGTTTAACAAGCGAAGTCTATATAAACAGCAATTGCTCTTTTGTTTCCAAAACAGGTATTACAAGTGGATAAATAATGTGCACAGCTGTGAGCCCAAAGGTACGCAGTGGACCTGGCCTCTCTGATATGCATCAGTATAGCCAATGGCTGGCCAGTAGACATGAAGCTAATTTGCTACCGATGAAAGAAGATCTGGCCTTGTGGTTAACCAATCTATTAGGTAAGGTTGTAAGATCTCAGTTTGTGAGCAAAGATAACAGTTTCCCCACCCCACTCCCATCATGTAGTGTCCTTCACCAAAGCATGTGACAGCACCTTGGAAAGAAAGATTTCATTATTTGGATTTTGCATCTGGGAAACCTGAAGCATGTGGAAAATTTAAATGAGTTTCCCAATGTCTCTCACATTAACCCTACTTAGTAGTTCTAATATCATGCATTGACATGTGGAAATATGTGATCAAATTGCCTCCTTCGTCTGCTGATTGATTTGCTTTTTACTTTTTATGCAGCTGACCAAGCTGACCTATTCATTTGTTATTGCACACAGACCACAGTCGGTGAAGTCTTACTTCTAAAACTAGATTTTTTTTTGCCCTACTTTAATAGTGCACCTTCTAAAACTACTGAATACCCAAACTTTAGAGCAAAAACATCTCTCCTGTGTCCAAATGAGCTGACTACAGTTACCCAACCTTGAACCAACATTTTTTTTCTTTTCATTTCACTTTTGTTTTTAAGTACTCTTCCAGAACTATTGTCTCTGAGAAAAATGCTACCTCATGCTAAAGCTGCCTCTTTGTTGTTTCTGTTGTGCTGGCATATTCACTGGATAAAACTTCAGCCATGTGCAAAATGGAATCATGCATTTAAAGAATCATTATGCTAGCAACACTGTTTTCATTAGTAGTTTTTCATAGAAAATAAAATTGATTTAAGACCTTTGGCGAGAACCCTTGTACATACATAAGATATAAGATTTGAATAGTGAGTACATGTAGAATTTATATGGTGCCTTATAATTTGCAGAAGAGATTTTAACCAACAGTATTTTATTGTACAGAGAATCTTTCAAGGTGTTTTATCTTCACTTTCTAGCTGATGAAAGAGCTTATTAGAAGCAGGCTGTCCATCCAAAAATTTAGCAAGGTTTTAGCAAGGTTTGGCAAGATTTTAGCACAGTTGAGCAAAATTTTCCTTTTGCTCATGATGGATCCAGATTTTTATATGGCTGTTACATATCTTTTTAAGCTTTTATACAGGGGTTAAACGTTTCCTTTTTCCTCACTGTGTGTATACTATTTTAGCTACTTTGTGTGGTCCAAGAGGACCACTGAATGTGGGTATGCAGCTTGTACCCTTCACAAGGGCACCTAGCTAAGGACGAGGGCAGAAATGCATAAGGTGTACTAGGGAGCCTTAGTCATTAGAAGAGAGGGGCTAATCTCTTTTCCTGATTCATCCATGCAAAGGAGAAGCTTTTATCTGTCTTACAGAGGTAGTCAAGTAAGCCTAAGCAGATAGCAGATGGATTTCCTCTCCTGTTTTTTCCTTCCAGGGTTTGCTAGTGATTGTTACATGAGTAATGTATAATTAACTTCGGGTTGTTCTCAGATATGTTAGTATCACAAGTATGGCAGTGTGGAATAGAAAACAGACTTGAAATAGACTACCTGTTTGTACCCCAGATGTGCCACTTAGTAGTAATATGATCTTAGACAAGTTACTTAACCTCTCTGTGCCTCAGTTTCCTCTTCTGTGAATTGTTAACAATAGTAATGTCTACTCTGCAGGGTTACTGTGAGATTAAATGATTAAAATATATATACTATTTAGAAAGTGCCTGGCATATTGTAAACACTAAATGTGTTTTTGTTGCTATCCCATTTATATAGCTCAGTGATGCTGTTATTTTGATTTAGTGGATAAGTTCATTCATTTATTCAACAAATATTTGAGTGTACAGTGGCATAATTGTATTTGTTTTAAAAAATGACTATGGGATCAGTATGCTTGAATTCAAATCTCAGTTCCACCACCTACCAGCTCCATGACACTGGGCAAATCTCGGTGCTCTGGGCCTCAGTTTCATCATCTGAAAGTAAGTATAACACTAGTACCAACCTCATGAGATTGTTGGAGATTTGAATGAGATCATCCCCTTTGGAAAAGGTCTGCACCATTGTAATCACTACCTCTAGTAAATATTAGCTGTTGTGATTATTGTGTTCTGCTAATACTGGAGGGTAGAGTGGTGATTCAGAATTGGCAGAGTTCCTGTTCTTCTAGAGCTTGGAGTAGATTGAATAAGACATGTATTAAATAAGTAATTGAATGAGCAATTCATTCATTGCGCTTGTTGTGAACACTGAAAGATAACAGGTTGCAGTAAGAATGTAAAAACAAGGAGGTAGGAGTGGGATGGAGAATCAAAGTGCTTAGAGGAACTTTCTTTAAGGAGTCATATTTAAAATGAGAACTGAAGAATACTGAATAGTTAACCATACAAAGCATGGGAGAAGAGCCTGAGTAGAGGGAATGGAATGTGGTGAGATAGGAAGGAGTTTGGTGCATTGGAAGAACTGAATGAAGGTTTCTATCCACAGCACAGATCAAGATGGGGAAAGGAAACTAAGACATGTTGGGGCTAGATCATATACTGCTTTGAAGACTATGTTAAGGAGCTTTATAATTTACTATATAATCAGTGAGGAGCCATTGAAATGTTCTAAACAAGGGTAGATCATAGTTAATTAGAGTATAGACTGATTATACAGAGATGTTTCAAGGTCCTATGATTTGTCATCAAAGGCATTTTATTTGGTGAATGTGATCATTTACAAAGCAGCTTGATCAGTGTGAGCAGCCCAAGAAATCCTCAAAGAATAGAGAGTCAGTGTGTGTGTGTGAAATGGAAAGATCCTTGGACTAAAGTCAGGAGACCTGGCTTCTAACAGGGCGTCAGGAGACCTGGCTTCTTCTTCTGGCTCTGCCATTTGGTAGGAAACTTGCCCAAAGTCACTCAGCTATCTCTTCTGGGCTCAGTGTCCTCCACATAAAATGAAGGGGTTGGAATAGATTATCTCTAATGTCCTTTCCAGTTCTAAAATTCTAAGTTTCCAAGAAATTCATCTCTTGAGACCCAGTTTGAGACCATCAATATGCATAAACAAAGATAAAGCAATTTTCATAAATAATCTTTCTTTTAAAAAATAAGAAGTCTAATTTTTTAATGTTAATGGTTGGTATCAAATATGCAACTGACAGTTTGTAATATTTTCCCAGAAAAGGAATCTTCAAAGAATTTAAAGATACAGTGAAGTACCACTTGGTATTAACTTAAATTTATAAAAGCAGATAAATAATAGAGTTCAAGTGATTATACTCAGGGTAACTTAGTTATTTAAATTTGAGATTATTTAAAATGGCAAAACATTTGGAAGTAAGAAAATACGTAATGTATTAGAGTGGTGATAATAAGGGAGAAAAAATATATGACTACATTAGAAGATATTTTTATTACATAGAACAAAGATATTTAGAATTCATATATTTTTGAAAATAAATGAAGTCATTAAAGTAAATTTTAAAATTATTTCTGGCCATGTTATCACCTCAGAAATATTTGTAAATTTTTATTGTGTAGCTAGCTCTCTTTCAATTCTTGTTTTTTATCTGCTTGAAAGTTAGAGATATGAAAGTAGTTTCGAAGTTGATCCTACATCCCTTTTAAGCATCTAAGTGGGTTATAAGGGATTGGGTGAAATAGGTGAAGAGGGAACAATTACTGAGAATGTTTGATATCTTGGGTGATGGTTACATAAAGCTGTACACTAAGATTTGTGAATTTTGTGTGTACCTCAGTATAAAAATATTTTAAATTAAAACTTAAAAGATACAAAAAAGTATCTAAATTTTTTGATGCAATAGAAACTCACAAACTAAATTAAAGCTTTTAATTAGGTTTTGCTGTAGTAATGTGGGTCTTACTTGTGGGATGTGGGAAGGCTTTCTACTTCTTTTTAGTAATATTTGACTAAAATGTAACATTTTGCCTTTTACATCTTTCAAAAGGAGCATCAATGATATTCTAAGTTCAGATTTTTCTGCTTGTATGTATAAAATGTAATGGAAAGAATGTAATTTCTTAAAACAATTCATACTCAGATTTTTGGTGGATAAAAATTATTTGATAGAGAAGAAAATTACTTCATTGCTTAATAGACAGATATACACATTATGACATGTAAGGAGTTATAATACTATAGTTTCCAGACATAGAATAAAAGTAGCAATAGCAAATTTTTAGACTGAAATTTATATATTAAAATATAAAATGCCAGCTATCTTGTGATAAGTTAACTAGTTAAGATGAATAAATAGTTATGGTAATTAGGATTTGTTTATGGGGTAATACAACAGTCTGATTCATGACAAGATCATCATGTCATTTTTACTGACTACTCACATATATTTGGCAATATCTACTGATCTTACTGGAAATAGTCTCTGTAGTTCAAGTATGTTTTCCAATAGCTGATCCCATGAAGCAGGTTTATGACCAACATCCAGAAAAGACAGCAGAAGAATCTTGAAAATCCCTTCACTCTTCCCTGTAAAACATTTTTTTGACCATTAAAAAATATCTTTTTGGCCTGCTCTACATTAAATACCACATTTCATCTTTATTTTAGGCCTTCTGCTTTGCTGTTTTTGTTCATGAACTAGCTATCACCCATTTGTTACTTAACTGTCCTTAGGATATATTTGAACACCAAATGAATTTAAAAATAAATCTTGAGAAAACTTAATTGTCACTTTGAATAAACAGCCTGTTAATCAAATTAACAGTTCTAGATTAGAACAACTAGCCATCATTCAAATAGATGAGGCACATTCTACAAATCTCATGATTGTTGGTGGACTATTGAAGATTATTGCTGAGTGAAATTTGAAATTAATTAACATAAATGTTCTCAAGTTGTTTATTTCACTTGTGTTTCTTTACTCATTTGAAAATCATGGTCTACCTTTATCTTCAGTTAGCATTTATTTAATAAACTATGAATCACATGCAAATGTATTTTGGGAAAATATTACATTTATTAAGCATCAAAGAAATTGACATTGTTCTTAAAGATTGTAGATCTTTAGGATTAGGCATGTGTGTTTGGATGTTTACAGGGGATTTGAGTAAATTTTAAATCAAGTTATGCCAAAT